CTTAAAAATTTGTTCGTGTTCGGCTCGTTAGGCTTAACAAACGAGCCGAACACGAGCTGTTCGTGAACAACGAGCCAAATTGACAGCCCTAAGTATAGTGTATCATATCATTATGATATAATTTACATCATGATATTCCTCAAATAAAATTTTCTTGTTGGCATGGCATATATACATATAATTTATTATTTATAATCAATAAAACTAAATAAAATAGATGGATCGAGTTAGTTCAGATCTCTCTTTTCTCACCAAAAACTTAATAAGAAATGATTAAATTTGAAAGTGAAAACTCAATTAACTAAGTTGTACAGCTTTTAAAATATATATATTTTTCTTTGGGTAGAGAGATGGTAGGACGGATATTTCATGTCATAACTCAAGTCAAAATTGGCTATTTTAATGAGGTAATTACATACAGACCACCCGAAACATTGATATTTACGAATTAAGCACCGGTTGATTTTTTTGAACCACTGAACTACTGATGTATTTGATAAAATAGCACACAAAAAAAAAAGTTAATATCACTTTTTTTTTTAAATGAAATACACAATTTATTTAAAACACCAAAATGATATATATGTAAATAAGAATGTTTATGTTTGAGATATGTAAATACATAAGAATTCTGTGCTATATAAAATTTCCTATAGTTTAATCTGATTTTGATGAAAAATAAATAATGGTGTGTGTGTCTATATATACATATATTCTAATTACATTCGTTGTAATTTTAAAATTATACATATAACAAGCAAAGTCATATGTAAAGCCAGTCTTTTTTTTGTAAAATTGATCTTGGGTGACACCCTTTATATCTCTTAGATCTTTAGAATGTGGTTGATGTGGCGACCCTGTCAAAGTCATACAGACCCAAAGACTTACCATGAAAATTTAGATATTGGTTAGTACATTTCTCGTTAGATGGTGTGTTAGACAAGGATTAGAGTGTTAAGTAGTATTTTCGACGCGTCTAGCTATTGTTCTCTGCTAGATTGATCATTCTAGCCAAACGTCACTTATTGTGTATTTTAGTGTGCTTGCATGCTTTATAGTCATTGTAGTATATTTGGGCATTCTTCTGTAGGGAGTCATGCCTATATATACGCATACACACGGGTTTCATTAAAGGGGGAGCATGTGATGATTTCTACTAACCATTTGCTTGCAAATGTTATTTAGCTTCCCCAATAAAAAGGACACGGCTCAGATACGATTGCATGTTAACTGGTGCTAACCCCTTTTTCTGTAGTTTGAGTTTTGCTCTTTCATATATATTTTGATAGTCATAGAATCGAGTCTGTATCAGAATTAAGGTACGACCACGGGCTTCGAGGCGTACGACGCATTGAGACACATGGCAAGGGACCGGCAGCAGCAGCTCGTGTCATGTACTTTAAGTCTGAAACTACTTCTTGAATAGATTTAGGACCAGACATATATATACGGAGTCCGACCGCATTTACTATTTTTCCTGGGATAAGTCGTCGACCCAGCAGCACTAGCCTTTGCTTAACTTTCATATTACATGCTTGAATGTTTGAAATGAATTTCATTGTTTCTTTGCGTGGCTTATCTAGGTATATCACCATTGCAATCTAGGTTCTTCTAAAAACCTAAAGTTTTAATCTTTTATAATATTAATAAAATTTTAGGACTAACTAAAATTTAGGATTAAAACATTCAAGATTTTTCAAAAAATTAAAAAAAAATTATACTTTACTTTTTTGCATGCCTTTGGGCTAGATTTAAAATAATCTCGCATGCATGGTTATACACCAAGTCATATTAATAGGGCCTTCATGCCTAAGACTTGAATAGATGACTGCATCATATACATCTATTCGATGAGGAGCCCCACACTCCTCCAATCTGATTGGGCAACACTCTTTCTACATAAGAGGTTGTCTAGAACACTTAGGTCATTAGAAGGCTCCCCGACCCAGATGGGGTATAAGTCCTTTGTGAGAAGTGTCTTCAGCTTTGTAGCTAAACCTCCCATTTCTTTTCTTTCCAGTGGCATCTTCACAATTTATTTGGTGCATGTAAATCCCGCTTATTGGAGCTCCACCTTACAGTTACATGCTAGAGTTTTGTTCCTCTAACCTTAAGGCTACGAATACCCCCTCGGATGATGCAATTTATGGATTGATGATGAGGAATCTTCAGTTGTGTTGGGTCAACTACCTTCACAACGAAGTAGACTTAGGGTCTCCACTACTTGGGATGATGAATTTGTGGCACCATAACCCGGCTGTCTCTACCTTTTTAAGGATCACTCAACCTCCCATTGTTGAGCCCCTCTGAGCCACGTCATCCTTTTGTAACCTAGTTGATGTTTTCTTGACCATCTCTACCGCCGATAGGTAAAACACCCGTTTGGGATACAATGATTTCTTTTTTGCCCTTATGGCCTGAGAAGCCTTGAAGCATAGTGATATTCCTGTCGAGCCGACTCAGCTATTTCACCGGACCTCACCTATCGGCGTGTTGTTGACCACTCGTGGATTGGAGGGACTTATCCTCCCCCAGGTGGGTCAGTATAGGCTCCCAAGGTGTTGAGATTCCCCTAGTTGAACTAACCATCCTTTGATAACCTATCTACCGGTTATCACTATAAAGTAAGCAAAACATCTTTATCGAGAGTATTACCGGGTATTCCCTAAGATGTAGTTAACCAAAGAGATATGTTATTTTGGGAGTGCTCTTGCCCCAGAATAAGAAGTGTTCTTTTCGGTTCACTGGTTTGGGTGCCTTAAATAGGGATCTTTTCGTGGAAATTGGCTTCAAGGTATTTCGAGCTGATCCTATTTGGACATATATTCTCGA